ACTCTCTGATACTGGATTTCACCCGAGAGGAAACTCTACGAGGCATTTCCAGCAACTTAGCGTGGCCTCTGAGGAGCTGCAGAAAAGTTCACCAGAGGCACCAGCAGAAGAGGAGAGAGAAACCCTACAATTGGAGGCAGGTAGAGCAAGACGGAACCTTGGAGAAGGGATGGGGACTGGCGGGGCCAGCTCCCAGCCAGCAGAAGTGGAGGAGCGGCAAGTCTCCCTCACGGAAGCGCTAGTGGGCACCAGACCGAAGGACCCAACGAGGCGGCTGGCCCACCACTGGGACCCACCGAGAGACCTGAGCATCTGGGATGACACTGGAGGGTTCACCCCAGAGATGCCAGCCCGTCCTCGATGGTCGAGAGCCCTGGGGACAGCGACCGGAGTGACAACGCCATGGGATGAGGGGCAACAGGTGAGGAAATTGGAAGGTGAAGTGCGCGCCCTGAGGGAGGAATTGGGCAAGCTGGGGATTATGGTGCGGCCTCCCGTGCATCCTCCCACACCCAGACAGGGGTTGACGCAACTTGCCCAGCCCTCCCCGATTGCTCCAATGGAACCGCCGACCCTTCCCCTGCCTCTGCCTCCATTCCAACCCCCCGCAGGCCACGCTGGGGAGCGGGCCAGCAGCAAGCTGCCCCACAACCGCAGCAGGAGGAAGGGGACCTATTGCGAAGATGGGGGCTAGTAGAGAAGTACGATGGAGACCCTGCCCAACTGCCCACCTTCCTGGACCAGGTGAGAATCTGCATGGGCACGTGCGGGTGCTTGTTTGCCAGCGATGCCTGGAGGGTGCTGTATGTATCCCGCTTCCTGGTAGGCGTGGCAGCTGAGTGGGTGAACGCCTTGAATGAAGTGGAGGCCCCAGAACTAGGGGACTTTGACCGCTTCATCACTGCCCTACGGGACAGATTCGAGGACCAATGTGCCCGCTCGCATGCAGCGGAGGCAATCCGGGAGCTGAACCAAGGGGCGTGCCCCGTGTCAGACTATGCAGTGGAGTTCAAGCGCTTGGCGGCGAAGCGCCCACACTGGCCGGAGGGGTTCCTCGTGCGGCTGTTCCAGGAGGGGCTGGACCAAAGGCTCTTCAAGAGGGCCGTGGTGTGAGGGTGCCCGGAGACCTTGGCAGGATGGATCACCCACGTCTCCGTGTTGGAGGCGCAACTGGCTAGAGTCAAACCGCACGGCGCAGAGGTGAGATGGCCCCCTAGCGCCGCATGGCAAACCGGGCGGAAACCGGCAAGGAAGGCGTTAACCCCCTCGGCAAGGCCGCGGGGAAAGCCTGCTTCATGTGCGGCGAGAAGGGGCACTTCATGGCGGCCTGCCCCCAGAACCCAAGGCTACAAACTGCGGCGAAAGGGAAAAAAGCTGAAAAACCTGCAAAGCCAATAAAAGCCCCACGGAAGAGCACGGCGGCGAGAGGTGAAGAAGAGAGGCTGAGAATGGCCTACCTCTCCGGCAGCGAGGACGAAGGGGAGAGCGCCAGCGAGAGGGAGGAGAGCCCAAGGTGCAACCAGCCGATCTCGAGCAAATCGATCGAGGACATCCGGGTGAGTCCGATGACGTATGAGGTAGTGATCTGTGCTCCGCGATCGACTCATCGGGCCCGGCTCACAGCATTGCTCGATTCAGGTTGCTCCCGGAGTTTGATCAGCCCCGTGCTTATCAATGGATTAAATTTAAAAGTGTGCTGGCTGAAAACTCCCATAATCTTCAGGCAAGTGGATGGAACAGCGGTGGGAGGAGGTGCAGTCCGCTACTACAGAGGCTTTTGAGTTAAAAGTCGGAACGCACCGGGAGACTTTAAAATGCCTGGTTGCGCTGCTGGCTAATTACCCCCTCATTCTGGGAATGTCCTGGCTGGAACTGTGGGACCCCCGCATCAGCTGGTGGGAAAGGACTAGGCCCTTTCCAGATGGCGGGTGTGGGATTGCGCAGGCGGAGCCCAACCAACGAGGGGAGCTGGGGGCAGCAGCCCTGAAGGAGCAGCCCCAAGGGAGGAAGC